TTGTATCCTGTCATTTATCATCAAGAGGACGGTCCGACAAACTGTAAAAAGTGAGGCAAAAAAATTTTCCTCTGTTTTTCCACTTTACCACGTTCATGTTTTATTCTATGGTTAGAATTCAATTATAACGACATTAATTTCATTTAGAATGTTCATCGTGACGAAATAAACGAGTTTCGGTCAGGCCATTGAGCCCGAAGAAAGGTTTGCAAAGCTAATAGCACATTTGCACATTCACGTTGCATACCTGCAATGTTTGGCAGTTCTTATATTTGCAAGTAATTTTTCCACTATGAAAGTTAGCAAGTCAGCCCTCCGCACATGACTAATGGGCGAGCATTCGCATGCTGCCTCAAGACTAGCAAAACAACGCAAAATAAGGCCATAAATCGGAACCAAATATCCAGCACAAGTAAATGCATATATTTATGTATCGTTTGCTGTACGATTCAAGTGTAATTTTAACACGATACATTCAGATATTCATTTTTGTACCTAATTTCTTGGTTTGCGACCCGCGTGGTCAATAAATTTCAAAAAGTGGCCCGCGACATGGTTTGAGTTGGAGACCCTTGATTTAGGGAGTGAACATCGGTATTTTACCGTTTGCAGGCAGAACAGTCCAGAACTCAATAATCACTCAACACCGTCGGATGGCATATACTCAGTATTATTTAGCCTAGTCCAACTCTAAAAGGTATTAATGGTGTTTTACGGTTAATGTTCTATAGTAGAGTCGTATATTTCACGAAAAAAGAGACTCCAGCCGTGACGCAAAGTGCGAATCGTATAAATAGCGTGGATTTCAAAATCGCCAGTCATATGTGTGAAATTGTTGACGCGACTACGACAGGAAATCAATAACATTAACTCCTTTATAATGACTTATTACTTATCGATATTAAGATCGGTAAGTATATTGATAGGTATTTGTCTGTATGTATGTCTGTCTGTGTGTCTGTCTGTTAGATGCACGCGATATCTCACGAAAGCGAGATTGAATCTGCTCCTGATTTTGCATGTGCATTCATCTTATCTCGGACCAGGAGCCTATTGATTTTGGGCGAATTATGTCGTATAATTAGCGAGTTATAAATCAATTATTGATATAGTGATCTAGATTTTTGTAAAGCGAGAGAATTTTGAAACCCGCCGAGTGTGTGTGTGCGATGCGCAGTGCGCAAGAAACCCGCCGAGTGTGTGTGTGCGATGCGCAGTGCGCAAGTTACAAGAGCGGATAAATCGAGGAAAATAATTTAATAGGAATAATTATTAACCTTCTACTAGACACAAAATCTCGCAAGTTCAATATAAATTTTGGAATTTTGGCGTAAAAAAATTTTTTCAGAGGATTTCGTTTTACATATATTGCTGAATAGAGCTCTATCACACGCTATTAAAAAGCCATGAGTGAAGCTTTAGGGCTGAAAAAAAAATAACCCACGTAAAATGGCACCTGCCCGACCGGCTGGGTAGGGTGAATGTACTATAATATAGCTTCCTGACACATTGCTGAATTAATGTGTATCATCCTGATCATCTCCACCTCCCCTTATTTAAATTTTTATTAGATCGAAAAAGTCGTTAACAGAGGCCTGCGATTTTACAAGCTAAGTTATTTAGCATCGACGATTGTTTCCTCTTTCGTGAGATGATGATTCAAGAAACGAATATTGGTATTTTGCCGTTTAAGAATGGACCATGATATAGCTTTCAAGTTATCAATCAAATTATAGTGATTTAAAGCGTATAAACTAGAGTTTTGTTTCACCTACCGAAGGCTCATCAAAGTTCATGGTGTTCTTCGTTTATTTTTGGTATTTTATAACACCGTTTTTCAGTCGTAATATTTTCTCCATTATTTTCAGTCGGAAATGTGAGTTTCAGATTCACTCATTTTAATTACCGTTATGTCGCCAATGATCGCATAATAGTGCGTTTTCACGCACAGTTCCGAGCGATAAAAATTAATTATCGACGTTCCAGTGGCACAATAAGTTTTCTCGTATGCAGGGTACCGCACTCGACCTGGAATATGATGATATATGAGTTGAAGAATTGAAGTATAATTGAGTAATTGAAGTAATGTGTCTTTATCTTATAATTGGACGCAACCACGATTTAAGTTAAACACAATTTTTAAAATATAGAAGTATAGAAATACGTTTTGAATGTTGGTATTGGTCATGAGTTGAATACTTGACGCAACAAAAAAATCATTGTCCGCCGAAAATATCGGCAATGGCGTGATCGCGACGCCTGTTTCAAAAACTGTTGCATGTGAAATACCGATTTTCAACTACGCGGGGGAACTACAGAAATATTGGCGTCTTCGCATGTTATGCGCACTTCAAAAATTACGATTAACTAAAATTGAGGAATACTAATCGAATATAACGCTACACGAAAACGATAAGAACATCCCTGATCACTGGGTTTTAAATATATATTCATGAAATATAAAAATAACGTAAATTATTTGCAACAGTGAATTTAGAAGCTAACAACGCAAAATACTAAAGGTCGTGGCAATATCACGATTATCGCAAATTTTGAAATGTAACTTCATTTTAATAATTGTCATGCCTTTATATTTTATCGGCAGTAGCATGATAACCACTGGCATATTCATATCACCCTGGCTACGGTAAAATATTTCAAGGTACCTCAGTTGTTTGTTATATGACGCTTACTCGGTTCTTTCGCTCCTGAGAAGGCTCTGTAAAGGCGGCCACTGAAAGACAAGAATCTACCTAATTCGTTACCCCATGTGTGTCGTCATAGCTTCATGAATGCTTTTACGTTCTATTTTCATTTAGAATTTTATCACTCAACCACAATGCGTGGGACAAGAAAATCTTTTTCTTAAAACATGGATGAAATGGATCCCTAAAATTACATTCTAAAATCTAAGCCAATATACAGGGTCATTATAACGGTGTTATCTGCCGTCATTCTTATCTGGGTTACAAGTTATTCATACCAGCTTTTCAGAGGTCTGAATCAACATTTTCAAATCGATGCTATTTATACTTCGAACAGTTTCTGGCGATGCTATAGCGTTTCATTGCTTGTGTTTACTACAGACCATTGAAGGAAGCAATTCTTGGCGGGCCGCATATTTTTTCAAGAAAATTTAAAAATCGAACGGGTGGCTGATAAATCACATTTTTTACTAAGATCATAATTTGAAATTTTATACTTTAAATAGCGAGCGAACATTACAAGACTCAAGCCGTCTTACTAGGACAAAAATGACGTTTAATGTGACACTTCTTGTTGCATTACGCTCGATAAATGTTTGACATCAGGTGACACATTTGATGAAGCCTAGATTAGAACATTTTTTCAATTGGCATCACTAATAGTTCTGTGCTTGTTCTTTGTAATGTTCATTTTTAAAATAATTGTTCCCACGCATATGTACTTCTAAACATCGATGTAGATTTTTTCGCATGGTTTGTCAAATTTGGATAGAGATTTCCCTCAAAAAGATACTTTTTATACAAATCAAACATTCACACATCATTCGAATAAAAAGTGGATTTTATTTCCTCATTGTATTGGATCTTGGGAAACTCTATTTAAATATTTTTTGTAACCGTTTCCACGTTAGCATCAAACGGAGCACTAAACAGACCGAACGCGTTTTCAAGAGAACGAAAGTCACCGAAGCAGAAGGAAAAATCGTTTTGGAACTCCCGTATTACAGAAAAATTTTTTTTAACAAAACTATCATAACTCCACTCCACATATCATTCCACTCCGTGTCCAATAATCTGATCCTCGAACGTAGAAAAAATTAAATTATTATTAAAATCCGCAGCCGCCAAATTTGAATAATCGCGGGCCGGATTATTTTACTCCGCGGGCCGTGGGTTGCCGACCCCTAAGTTGGGGGTTCAACTGTGTTGCCATTATACATCTCTTTTATAAATCTTCAATCATCTCACCCAGGGTAAAAAAAATGCGCAGACAAAGCCGAATTGGAAAGCTTTCATTGCATCCTAGAGTATTGGAATTCACACATCGTTATCAGTGGCCGCTTATCACATAACTTCGTTCGGAGCGAAAGGTTCAAATAAGCATCGTATAAAAGCATTTTTTGTACAAGTGTGCCGTATTTTATATATTTTTGCTTAGTGCGTCTCAAGCTAAAAAAGTTCGAGAACCACTGCTTTAATCGCTAGGTCATCGAAGCCGACAAATTTTAATACTAAGAAAGTCTATCAATTTCTAACGTAACATATCGTAACGATTGGCGCATATTTATACGTTTCTGACTAAAGACAAACTCTACCCAATTCGCCACACCTTAGGTGAGATGGTGGGCGTGGGATTTGAACCCGATTTGTAAAACTCGAGTGATTTTTTAAGCTGGGTTGCTTTGCTTGTGAGAGCTAAAACTATCGGCAATATGATTAGACAACTAATCGATTTGTTTTTTCCCGACCATAATTTTTCCAGTCGTATCATGATCAAACAGAACCACAGCCCTTCTAACTTCTAGAAATGATCAACATTTTCACACCGGACGTTCACTTACGACTTTTTACGTCATAAAAAATTCCCAAACCAAGGCTCTTATCAAGCAACAACTGATATGCATTTGACTTCTTATTTCTGAGAAGATGGCATATTTTCCGATTACAGTTTGAAGATGTCAAAGAGTCAAATACAAGAGACCGAGATAATGTCATGAATATCGCAAATAAAAACTTCATTTTGACAATTGTCTTATTTTAGAATGATTTTTGTTAAATTGTTTCCCACTCAACATAAGATCGATTCATTTAACCCCGTGACCATTTTGATTTTACGAATGCGCTTACTTATTAGAACAAAAACCAGGTTGATTGCCCTTTAAATTGTTTATTTAAAACAATTTATAAAATTGAAAAATTGAGATATTATCTTTTTCCGAAACATATATTTTATCAACTACCGCTGACTAATCGCTGCAAAACTATTTATAATATTCCAAACTTATTTATATTTAGTTGAAGAAACTTGACGTCGGGGAAAACAGAAAATTCGGAGTGCAAGGTGTTTCTCAGCTCGCATCTGTCGTTTTACAATGTGAAGTGGAAGATGTTAACATGAGCTGGTGCGAACTGACAGCTGAAGCAATGGAAGGATTCAAAAACAATACTCGTGGTGCCAAGGTGAAATTGAGATTGATCTCGATCTTTCATTTTCGTCCTATACTGATGAGCCTTTTTTATTCACCAATTGTAGGCAGGGGCGGACACTTCCCATAGTTTGGGGGCCAAACCTGCATTGTCAACCAAGAATCATGGTGTCGTGTTGATACATTGTTACGTCTATTCTTTTTGACATTCTCTTACAAGTTTACTATTCAAATATCCGGTACCACGGGACCTATACCGCTTTGCTTGGAAACGATCCCATAAATTTCGACAGAATAACCTACTGCTCTTACAGAAACGTCAAATTTGAGGAGTTCTATTTGGCCATCGTCGCCGTTTCATAGATTGAGAAATGTCGAAGAAGATAATAAGATATCCTTTGCATTTTTCGCTAAACTTACGGGTAGAAATAATATTCTTGCCGACATTTTGACTCAAAATAGCAATAAGGATTCACGCGATTCACGCATTCTTTATGAATATCCGCATTCCTGAGACAGTGAAGATAATATTGTTAACCTTTTCAAAATTTGGACGGTTATTTCACAAACGCTGATAATAAAGATCGAACAAACGCAAAACATAAAAATCATAATAAAAGTAGTTGAGTTCTGAATTCCCTCCATGATAATTGTCTTCAACATACGTCACCGATGTGGACGCTTATTCTGCCAGAAATATAAACACAAAACTTCGACATCCGCCGTTGCGTAAGAATTGGTACTTGCGTAAGAAAAAGAAAATGGGCGAACAGCTAGCTTACAAACATTAGGATGGCTAACGTTATGGACTCTTGTTATTCGGGTTGATAAAAATATTTTATTTTCTCCACCCTAGCTATCTTATATCACGGCGGTATTCCAGTGAAACGCGTGGTCGTTGTAGCTCTTGATGCAACTTAATAGGACCTTTATTAAATTTATTAAATTGCACTCAATAAAATGCGTGGTGGAGTCGGCAATCATTTTACATCTTGAGCCCTAAAACAGTTGTATTTTAGGTCGTTTCTGTGGTCTGGGAATCTTATTCTAATCAGTGTTTCGATGTCGCGAAAAATAAACGTTACGATGTAGTAAAAGCGATGATCTTCACCATCAAATTATACTCGGACTCTGCAAGGTGTCCGCCCTTGATTGTAAGTAAGCGCGATGGAATAGCAGTTAAAGTGTTGGGACTCAACTGTGTTGCCAACGCAGGTTACACATCTCTGGTGGTTTAAATTCAACTTCTACCATCTCAAACAGGGTGAAAAATGCGCAGACAAAGCCGAATTGGGAAAATCCCGTTTCTTCCTAAAACAGTGACCTTTAAATATCGTTATATATCAGTGGCTGCTTGTACATAGCTTTTTTTCGGAGAGAAAGATTTAAATATGTGTCCTATAAAAATCTTTATTGTGGTCTTTACAGAATTTCCGTCACAGGTATCTTAGTTACGGAAAAACAATATAAAACCCAAACAACGCCCATCCATAGCGATTTTATAGATACGTATTGTAGCGATAACATTGCACTTATTCATGAAATTCTGACTGTCAGAAATTCACGAAGTAATGCATTAGTTTGATAGGCAATATTGTTCGCAATTGAACCTTTACAATGAGCATACAACCTGTCGTCTAAAGAGAAGCAATCGAATTACATCGAGAAATATATGAAAAGATAGTGGATGAACGCATGAATTCGTCGCAAACGATGAATTTCATTATCTGAAAACAAAATCTTAAACTATTTAAAAAGAAAATCCAGAGACCATGATAATGCCACGTATATCACAAATAAATTCCAACTATTTTGAGGGTGATCCCGAAGTATGTGTACCAAGATGGCACACAACCTGAACATAGTATTTGTACCAGGTTGGGGTTAGCAGGCTGTGCGCCATCTTGTTACGAATACTACGGTAGCACCATTTTGAGAGATGTAATGTTTCGGGAAATTCGGATTTCTAACTTGCTATACGCTAACATAGTCGAGCCCATAAAATTATGAATTCAACATTTTGAATTAATTATTCTTGTTATTCTTAACCGCTATGTCATCGACACCGACAAAGCTTAGAAAGTATATCAATTTCTACAGTAACATATCGTAACGATTGGCGCATTTTTAAACGATTCTAACCAAAGACAAACTCTTTATGTGTTTCATTTTTACAAAATGCATTATTCTGCGCAATCAAAAATTCATAATTGAGAAAGAACCAAATTAACTATTTTATTGAATTATGTCAATCAGTGTTCCCTCTAAGAAAATTTCATACTGCGCAAATGTTGTTTTTACTGAGCAAGGCTATTTTAAGGCTGAGCAGAATCCTAAATGGTTTGCAAACTTTGTGAAAAGTTACAATAGTAGCCTATCATATATTATCGGAATGCTAACAAACCACGCGTTTACCTTCTCCTGTACCTAATGTACAATCTCAACATTTTTGTTGTTGAAATATCATTGCTTCCATCAAAATCAGGGCATGAAATTTTGCTTGTCTTATCCTCTGCATGATTTCTTCCTTGAGGTCAAAGTCTATGCTCTTCAAAATTTTTTGCTTCACCATGCATGTTGCAATTTAATGTATTTTGAGATACGACTAGTTAATACTTTGCGGGACAATATTGCTGAATTCAGCTTAACACATGGTAGAACACTATGTATGTGAGGCTTTATTTTTCTTGACGGGGTTTTCAAAATCTTTACTCTTTTCAGCGGTCGGTATTGGGGTGAAGAACCTTCTTATGTACCCACGTTTCGCTTCTGAGTTTATGCATCTAGTGTGTCAATGTGCTTTCATGATTTAAATGGCGTTTTAGATAGTCAGCTTCCCATTCCCACCCACGATTTGCCTTTTCCGAATCACTATCTGGTGCCACTTCCGACAAACTTTGCAGAATATCACATTCTTGACGCGGATTAGCAATAAATTTCTCAAATTTCAGTAGTTTGTCTTTTTAGCTTATTCATACCGGTATCACGATTTACTTATTTTTAGCCTCGCTTCCTTGAATATACATTTTACTCACACGCCAAATAAAGAACACTAGTATATTGGTTTTGGTTAAAAGGCTTAACACTCTATTTAGTAATTTCTGGTGAAACATACTTATTATATAAGCATTCAGTATAAGCTAATATGTCCCAATCTTGAGATTCAAGCAAATTTCCTGTAGCAAGCAGTGGGCACATTTGATACATTCAAAATTCCATCTTCATCTGTGTTAACTCCACTACAGACAATAACAAGATTTGGCGGGGTCGACGACACGAAATCAATAGCGCGCGATGAAAATTTCAAAATGCGGAACTGGCCCGCGCTGGCATACAGAAATCAAGGTACTTGAGCATGACAGACACATGTGTGACATCACAATGATCAATGGTCACCAAAATACGCGTGAAACATAGAAGAATTTTAGACAAGCGTTAATAAAATGACATATGACATATATTCGCTATTTGATTAAGATACCATTATTCGCTATTTGATTAAGGTTTTAACTTAACCTTAAATAGTTGGATAGTCTAACACTTCGACCAACATCATCAACACTTCAAACACTACCAGCAATATGTCATGCAGCAAAAATGACAAGGCTTCATCCAGCAACATCTCCAAGCCTAAGCAACCTTTAAGTAGGAGCCTTCCAGATTCTGGCCTCTCACCAATTGTTCCCACTGCTCAACTCCAAGAAGAACACTCAAATTTACAGATAAGACTTCAAGAAGCTATACAGAGGAACATTATGAACCAACTCCCATCTTTAATAGCAAAATGCCTAGCAGAAAATACCAGCTCTGCGAATTTTTCTTCTGAATACATACACCCCTGAGTCCAGGCCTTAAGGAATGTATGGAATCTCAAATGACATCACTGAAAGAAATAATAAATGATATAGCTACTATCAAAGATTTTCAGAATTTCCAATCTGAAAAGTATGACCAAATTCTAGCCCATCAAAAGATAACCGATGAAAAACTCACTCACTATGGCAAAAGAATAAGAGATCTGGAAGATTTAGTATACGATCTTGAGGAAGAATTGTTTTTCGTAACCGATAAATTGGAGGACCAAGAACGTCGTTCCAGATTGGATAATTTGGAATTCCATGGTATCGCCCCCCAAGAGAACGAGGACACTGACAATCTGATATTGGAACTGGGAAAAACGATCAATGTCGATATAAAACCTTCCGACATATCTGTAACCCACTGCAGTCCAACGCATAACTCCAACATACATAAACCTATCATCGCTAAATTTACTAACCGGAAAATCAGAGCAAGAATCCTCAAAAATCGCCACCTTTTGAAAACCGCTGCAAATTCAAGAATAAGAAATATTTCCAGAGCTTTCATCGTTGAGAACCTGACAGATAAAAACAAGAACTTGTTTTATATCAAGCAAAAGTTATGAAAAGACGATGTGGCTATGCCTTTTTATGGACATCAAATGGAAAGGTATTAATAAAGAAAAACAAAGACACAAACACTTTACCTATAACAGATGAGGAAGACTTGGATAAAATAAGATAAGTTCCATCTCTTTTAATCCTACTACTAATAAATCATCTCTTATAGTGATATGACAGACTTAAAAAACGTCTTGACAAATTCATATAATGTGATCCTTGCCTATTTTTGTGTCTTATGACAATATAACTGAACCCACCCCAGTGTGTGTAAACTCTACTTTCATCTCTCCAAGCAAATTATTATCTTACAATTCTTTAAGTCCTAGAGCTATCTGCCAAGCCTAACTTAAATTGGGAATCACTTAGTTTTCATACCAACGTAACATCATTCCCTAGCCAGTACCTCGAAATACAAGATATCGATAATGTGTCCTCTAGTTTTCTTCTCTCAGAGCTTATTGCAATACATTTTAATATTAGGTCCTTAGCAAAATATTACGATGATTTAGTTCATCTGATCTCTAATTTTCATATGCTGCCACATATAATTGCCCTGAGCGAGACCAGAATTAAAAGCAATACCGCTGTTCTCAATTTTGATATTCCGGGA